ATGTTTTTATAAAATCAACAACATAAGTTAAGATAAGATAAGAAGTACTTAATTCATCCCAATTTGGGAAATGTTTGCGTTGCAGCAGCACAAAATGACATGGCTATGTACAATACAAATTCAAAGAAATAAACATTCCAAAATGTAAAGATCTAAATAGAAATAGCATTAAAACAAATTAAAAAGCAGCACAGCCTGGATGTTGGGCAGCAGCACAGCCTGGATGTTGGGCAGCACGCCTCCCTGACTGTTTTAGTCGTATAAAACATATACAAATGTCAATATTTCACATATATTTGTGTTGATTGTGTAGGATGATATTGAGGTGACTATTACATGGAAAAGTATCATTGTAAAAAAAAAACGACCCTCTGCTTTAGTTATCGGTCCTTTAACAACATCAAAAAGATCTTACTTTAACATTTTATTCTGGATGTATAAAGGGGTCTGTGGGGGGGAAGGTTGGGGTAATGTTTTATTTAAATGGTTATTTAGGTAGTCAGCTAAGATGCCTAAAGCACCAGAGACATACATGTTGGTTAACATCTGGAATATGATCATTGTCTTGAGTTTTAAACTACGGGGGTCAAATTGACCCCAGAGGATAAAGGGTGTAAAGTATATCTGAGGATAACAGGAGGGTTAACTTGTCATTGTTTATTAGTTTAATGAATGGACTTATGGCTAGCACATACAAAGCTGCGTTTAGAGGACACCCCTGCTAACCCCTCTTTCAACATTAAATGCACTGGTTAACACACCATTTACATTTACACAGACACAAGATTTAAAATACCGACACTTAATCATGTTGATGAAGGCTTCAGGCTTCATTTCCTCCTTTTCTTTTTTTTTCTTTCAGAAAACTTTATTTTAAATTATTTGGGCAGTACATGATATACAAAAGTTACATTAATAATACACATAACACACAATGCATAACTATATAAATAACATAAAGAGAGCACGTTTATATTCCAATGACTCAGTTCGGTCACAGACTCAAAATGCCCCATGGCTGAGTCTGGGATTTGTCCAGGGTTTTTCTTCTCCTTAGTTCAGTAAGTATTTGTTTCATGAAGGTGCCACTGTTTATTATCGTCTGATTTAGTATCATCTTGCACCTTGTTTTCCAGATGTTCATACATGTTATACAAATTACCAGCTGAAAAAGTTCCCTGTGTTTATTGTCCATCCCCTCATCCAGAATACAATACATAATTGAGGCATATTCTACATTGAACTCTAAGCCGATGCCTTGTAGGAGCGACCACACCTCCTCGGCTCTGTAGCAGTCCATGAGGAGGTGCTGTAAACTTTCGTCTTCCTCGCAGTTAACCATGGGGCATGTTCTAGTTGTAACATAGCAGCTCCATGAAACCACAGCTCTGACCGCAAGTCTGTTGATCGATATCAGCCACCTCACGTCTCTCATGCTCTCTGAAATCTGTTTACTTTTTTACTAATTTCAGGACTTCGTTACCTTCGTCAGGTGTTAGGTTTTTGTATGTTATAAAACCTCCATATTTAAAATAATTTACCATTTTAAAAATCACTCTATTCGCTAGTCCGATCCAATCTATCTCTAAGTGTTCAAGTTCAGTTATGAAGTCACTATAAACTAATTTATAATATGGTCCATTTCTAGCTTGGCCTCTTCTTTTGTTCCATCCCATTTCTCCATCCTCAACCCAAGGTGCTTTCCTATTTATTGCAGCCGAGATGTTTTTTACAAAGGTAATTTTTAATTTAATGCCCAGGTCTATGGCTCCCAGGCCTCAGCGCTTCTTTTTTTTTTTTAGAAAACTTTATTTTAAATTATTTGGGCAGTACTTAATATACACAAGTTACATTAATAATACACACAACACACAATGCATAAATATATAAATAACATAAACAGAGAGCACGTCTATATTCCAGTGAGACTCAGTTCGGTCAGAGACTCAAAATTTGTCCAGGGTTTTTCTTCTTAGTTCGTTGATAAGTTGTCCCACATGAGGCGACCTTTTATAGCACATGTTTGCTCTTTATCTATTATTTTATCTAGTATATCTGTTAATCTATTCATTATTATTTTTGCTAGTATCTTATAATCAGTATTCATTATAGTTAAATGTCTGTAATTATCTATATCACATTCTTATCTATGTCTTCTGTTACTGTATTAAAATCCCCACCTAATATAATTTTATAACCCACTGTTAATAGTTATCTAAGTTTTCTGAATAATTGTAGCTTATTTTTTGCCTTAGGGGCAGTATAAATATTGATAAATCGATATTTATATTATAAAAACAATCCACCATAAGCAGCCTTCCTGGGATTATGTCCCTTCTTCTAGAAAGTATTAATTAATGCCACATTTTACACACATCAACATCACTGGTGGTATTCAGTCTAAGTTCTTGCGTAAAGAGAAAGTCATAATTAGTGTCAAATAAATATTTAATTTTCCTCTCTCGAAAGTCTTTAGACTGAACACCACATATATTCCAGATAGCAACATTTAACAAGCTCATATTGGTTTATAAAATGAACTACTATGATGTATCTACATTTGCCCGTTTTTCATTTAAGTTCAAGTTTCTAGGGCTTCCTCCTGAGCCTCACTCGGGGGTTCTGGAAATTCCGGAGTTGGTGAGAAAGACCGAGTTACTCTCAGGGGGCGAGTAGAGGGGCCTGCTGATTCGCTGACCAGCTGTAAGGCTGGAATCAGAGCATGGGCTCTAAAAACGTACTTATTCTCTCTTCTACACTATATTATATTGACACAGGTTTGATGAAGGAAAGCTCTCTGGATAGAAGTGTGTGGCTCTTAAAAGAGCCTTTGGTGTTTGATGAAGCGGGTTCAGGGTCTTCACTTCTTGGAGGGCTTCTCGGTCTTCTTGGGCAGCAGCACAGCCTGGATGTTGGGCAGCACGCCTCCCTGAGCGATGGTCACTCCTCCCAGCAGCTTGTTCAGCTCCTCGTCGTTGCGGACGGCGAGCTGCAGGTGGCGGGGGATGATACGGGACTTCTTGTTGTCCCGGGCGGCGTTTCCAGCCAGCTCCAGGATCTCAGCGGTCAGGTACTCCAGCACAGCGGCCAGGTACACCGGGGCTCCGGCACCGACACGGTGGGCGTAGTTACCCTTCCTCAGATGCCTGTGGACACGGCCAACGGGGAACTGGAGCCCGGCCCGGGAGGAGCGGGTCTTAGCCTTGGCTCGGGCCTTTCCTCCGGTCTTGCCTCTTCCTGACATATTTGATTTCTCGGGTTTACAACAAAGTGTGGCTCTCTGCTCGCCACAGCGGCTCTTTATATCCACCAGCTGCTCTCTGATTGGCTATCAGCGAGCGTATCGACGATCGTCCAATCAGAAGGGAGGTTACATTGGGAATGCTCTTTATGCGGCTTATTTAAAAATAAAACAGGACATATTTAACCAGACCATAACCCTTAATATAAAAAAGTGTTTGATAAATAATCCCACAGAAACACGTGTTGACATTTTCAGTGGATCCAGAGAATGTTAATTATATTAAAATGTGTTAAGTTTGTAAGGTTTAAACCCATTAATATGAAAACAATCCCTTAAACCTGAAACTAAAATGTGACAAATCCAATCTAAATGACTGTGATATATTCCCTGTACTGAAATAATACAACAAAAAACATAATCTATGCATTAAAAACAGTACACTGTACGGTTAATGAAACATTAAGAGGTAAACAAACTTAAAATGTAAGTCGCTTTGGATAAAAGCGTCTAACAAGTAACATGTAATGGAATGTAATAATAAGCTTTCAGAGGTGCAACAATCAGGGGGCTGCAGGTCTGGAAACAGTAGCTGTAGCAGTTGGCTTTGTCCTGTAAAAACATCCTTAAGTTTACCTGTTGTCTATAATGAAGTGGTGGAACACGCTGGAGATACCTTGTTGCATTACAAAGTGAATATCTATTTCCAGAGAAATATATAATGTTTGGAAGTGTTTGGAAACAGGTAAACACAGATCAATATATAGCAAGCACACCATCTGTCAGGTGTGGCATGATAACATACAGTATCATATCAAACAGGTATTTTAAGCCACTGCTTAATATAATATTTCAGCCTGAAAAAGCATGCAGACATCATTGCTGACGTGATAATACCTTCAGTTATTGATTGTTAAATCAAACGTTTATTCATGTTTAGCATTTGTAATGACTCAATAAATGCATTATATATTATGCATATAGATATCACAATAACTATTTATTTTCAAACACATTAATACAAAAAGAGAAATAAAACATATAGCCTAAATCAAATGTGTAAGATAGAAACAAATATATAATAATAATGTAATATTCTATTGGAAAGCATTTAACTCTCCTCTTGCTATAAAATAAACAAAGTACTGTAGTAATCAACTATTTCAAATGTATAGTAGTAAGTAGAATCGACAAGGAGTACTGTAGCAAAACATTATTAATGACAATTGATGAATTAAAACAACACAGTAAACACAGTGTTACCCTTAATAAGATGTTTTAAATAGATTAGAATATAATATATCGCTATTGTCATCATACAAAGTATAACAACATTTATTTGGCCTCTCTCACTGCAGTTATACAAATAGACACAAATAAATAAAAGCAGCAATGCAATACAATTCTATGTCAATGTGCATATTTACATAGTAACAACAGATGCTAGTGTGTGTGTGTGTGTGTGTGTGTGTGTGTGTGTGTGTGTGTGTGTGTGTGTGTGTGTGTGTGTGTGTGTCTGTGGTACTTCTACTTTACTCAAGTGCAAGACCTGAATACTTCTACTTTTACTCAAGTACAAGATCTGAGTACTTCCACTTTAACTTAGAAGCAGATCTGAGTACTTCTACTTAAGCAGATCTGAGTACTTCTACCTCCTCAGTTTCAATGAAATGACTGTAAAAGCGAAATTTCCGACGCGTCCCTGAAGGCGTCCCTTTAAGGTGGAGTTTCACGGTGCTGCATCTCGTCGGAATTTCAGGCCAAACAAACGGAACAACCGGAGACTTTCTGACCCCGGTGATCCCCCGGTGATGCCCCATTGACCCCCCGGTGATCCGGCTGGTGCTCCGCTGTTCAGTAAGTCCTCTTGTTCAGCCTCAGTTTGTAAATGCTGCTGTTTTAACCTTAGCTGTGCTTTAAAAGGATGCTTACTTAGGATGCACGCTTTTCAAATTAAGACACGATGTCTAACTATCTATCATATTTTTCACGCACAGCCTGCCGGGTATATGCTTTTAACTTTGTGGTTTTTAGCCTTTATTGGAGAAGAAGTTGTGTTTGCAGCGTTCTTATTATAAATCCATGGTTTGCACCGAGCAGCCATTTTGGTGCGTTCAAGTTGCATCGGGTGAAAACCGTCAAATGATAATCAGAAATTGCCAAGTAGCAGAGGTGGAAAAAGTACTCAGATCTTGTACTTGAGTAAAAGTAGAAGCACTCAGATCTTGTACTTGAGTAAAAGTAGAAGTACTCACTTAATTAAAGCATTAACTAATTAACGCTGACAATTATTTTATGGCGCATTAAAGGTGGGGTAGGTAAGTTTGAGAAACCGGCTCGAGATACACTTTTTGTTATATTCCATGGAATAGAGTGGCGAAGTCACGCCCATCTACTTCCGGTCCATGGGACCTTATTTCGGAAAAATTATGTATTGAAGTCAATGGAGAGAGAAAACGTATCTTTCGATCCCGTTTTAATTGTGCCATGAATTACACATATGATGTTTGTCAATCTTAAAAAAATCATTTCCATGTCAAAAAAGTCACAGTTTGTCGTAAAACTGTTGAAATATAAGACTATGAAAAATACGCAACTAGAAAGACTACAAATCCCAGAGTCGCGTAAGTGATGTCACTCATAACTGATGTCACAATTGTTTTCCTCCACTAAAATAGAGATAGCTAAGATAAGATAACTTTAACAAGATGCCTGTGTGCTTAGTACCAGGTTGTTATCATACCAGCAATGGGTCTTGCTCGTTCTTTCGCTTCCCGTCTGATGAAAGGACCAGGAGTGGCTGGATCAAGTTAGCTACCTAGCTAGTAGCAAGCACGTTAGTTAGCATTACAGCCTTAGCCTTGTCATTTTTAGCCTTAACATGAAGTAACATTAAGTAACCCAAAATGTTAAACAGTAAGAATAGTAGTCATATTTCGTGAACCCTTTGAAGAGTACTGTCACACCGGTGTGATCATTCTATAATACACCATTTAAGCCCGGGGGAGAAATGCTAACGCTAACGCTACATTAGCTTCGGCGATCTTTTCTACTTCATGCTATCTGCACAAATGGTTGACATTAAACATTAAAAAGATCAGGCAGTTCAGAGAGAATCAAAGGAAGGCAGCTTTGCATGACATTCTTCTGGACGTGTTTCATTGTGGTGATAGTGAGGGTAGTCAATCACTTTTTTGACAAGACAGTAGTGACGGCCATCTTGGTGACGTGTGTTGTTGTGAAAGAGATGTAGTTCATTGAGCGTTTCACACAAACAAAAGCGTTACTTCACAGTTTTACGACACATTTTTTTTTTTTTTGACTTGCAAAATTATCTTTTAAATTGACAAACATCATATGTGTAATTCGTGGCACAATTCAAACGGGATCGAAAGATAATCTTTCTCTCTCCATTGACTTCAATACATATTTTTTCCGAAATAAGGTCCCATGGAGGTCCACCGGAAGGGGAGGGACTTCGCCACTCTATGCTCTTAACATCCCGATAGCAATGAATATATAAAGTGCTTTGACAAAAAATCCATAAAAAAATGTAATCTGTGGAAGCCGTAGTACTGTAAAAAGCACAACCAATCATTTTAGCCGGCCCGGCTAAAATAACTGGATGGCCTACCTGCCTGTCAGCCTTCCATCTGTGCACAAACTTATCTCGTGCCCTCATTGGTCATGTGCGCGTTCGTGTGTGTTGGAGGAGGGGCTCTGTAAGGAAGTGGCAGATTTTTTCCGGTTGTGTATTTTCAAATTCTAGCGCACTCGAGCTGGTTTCTCCAAAATGACCCACCCCACCTTTAACAGTTTGAATTATTAATATTGTTGTATTGAAAGTTCGTATACACATACAGACAAACCACAGGATGGGCGTCATCACAATACGTTAATGCCCTGGCACATAGCTTTTGGTTTTATATTTGATTTGATACATACTGAATATTGAATACATATTTTAACTAATGCTGTGCAAAGGGAAAACTCCTGTTAAAAAGCACCTTATTGTTTAAAGTGTTTGCAAACCAAATGTTACTGCACTTGTGTTCATATAGCAGTACATTTTATAGCTTTGTTGCAGTGGGACCATTTTCTTAAACATCTTGGTAGAAAATGAGCTGTTGTGACATCTAGGTGGAAAAGGTTTTTGGTTTTCAAAGTCTCTGTTAACTAACTCAGACTCTGTTTTCTGTCTCACAGACTGAAAAGCACAGCAGACGATGCTCTAAAACACCAACGAAGTGGCTTGTTTTCCTCTGCAAAGACCCAAGTTCTCAGGATGTTGTTCAGGAAACAAAAAGAGGATTTACATTTTGGTTTTTGATGTCAGCATGCAGAACATCGATGAATACATCTGGCAGCGCCGCATCCACCACGGGGTTCGGCAGCAGAAAGGCACCGTCCCATTCCCAGAATCAGTGAAGGTTGGTTTGGACTTCAATGCAGCGTTGGAAAGGAAGGAAAAGTTGGATCCGGGGCTGCTCACAAACGCTGTGATGCTGGAGCTTTGCGCATTTGCAAAAACTGTGACGCAGTCCGAGATGTATTTCTTGTTTGAAATGCTGGACTTCAATTTTGACCTTGGCGTAGACTTGGACAATGATCAGCAGTACTACGAGTATGCAAGGCGTGCTCATAATAAAATAAAGGTAGTGAAGGATCAAATCAGGATGAAAACTCATCAAAGAAATAAAGATAAATTCTCGCTACCAGACATAAGCTTTTTAGTCAAGATCACTGCAAATGAGCAGCCCGGACGCTACTACCCTAAAAGAAACAAAATGGTTGATACTTCGTTACTTACTGATGGCAGCAGGAAGTCAGCAGAACCTCAGAAGACGGAGATCAGTGAAGACACGTCAATGATGAAAAGACCAGGAGTACTACGAGTCAAGGCTAGATCTTACCCTTACTGTGAAGACTTCGGTGTGTCTCTGTTTGTACGACCAGAAGATGCACCCAAAGACAAACTCGACCCAAATCCACTAACCAACGGTGTGATGCTTGAACTGCTCGACTTTTCGCGAGTACTTTGCGGAACGCACAACGGGATAGTTCACGACTTGATTAAGCAAAACTTCGGCACAAAGTTGGATAACACATTTGTCAGTTCGCAACTACTGTTGGAGAGGAAGAACGCCTGCTTCAGAACCAACGATAGCGAGGCTTTCCAAAAGGAGACGTATGAAATCAAGACATTGGACCCGAAGCGTAGGAAGCGAAAAGCCCCAGATTACCATAACTTGGAAGAGCTTGTGGCAAGTAAGCGAAGGGAAACGCTGAGACTTGACAATGTTAACGCTGATGTTTGTCCGGATAGTGACCTGTCTTACCGGTGCCCGGTTGACTGTGATACGGAAATGCAGTTGGAGTCGGAGGCAGCATCGGAACAAATGGTGTCTGATGGTTGTTCATCGGAAGCAAGTTTTTCTCTGGATGTAAAGCAGGAAGAAGAGGAAGTTTTTGTCTCTCAAGTGAAGCCTCCGACTTATAACTTCAACCCTATTTTGCCTAAGATTCTTCCAAAACAGACAACTCTAAAAGCAGTCTCGGATCTTTATATTGAAGAAAAAAATGAGGACACGAAAGTTAAAACTCACAAACAAAAGCTGTGGATGAGGAGGGCTCCTCGCTCAAAACAAATCCTGGAGTCGAGCAGAGTAAACGACAAGTTTGCCCGCAGCAGAGAGATAGGTTTAGACTTTAACGTGGGCTCGTGTAACAAGAAGAGCCTGGATCTACAACTATTCACCAACAACACGTTGTGGGAGGTTTATAAATTCGGTACAATGATGTCAAAGACTGTAGGCAGTTTCTTATTGGAAATTCTGGACATGAACTTTAACCTGGTCATCCTAGATCATTATCATGAGCGCAACCGTTTAAGTTATCTGATGTCTAAAGAGAAGTTCCTACAGAACCACCCTGGCAGGCAGAACACTGAGTTTCTAAACAGTCTCTTTCAGTTCCGAGAAGTTTACAACATGGTTGATGTGACCAGCATCTTTCAAACTGGACCAGAAGTTGAGACGCTGCAGGAGACTTGCTTGGATTCAAACCGGGTGGAAGATATGGATCCACATCCGTTTTGTAAACAGTTAGGCCTCAACCTTTGGTCCACAAACGTACGCCCGGCAGGCCAGAAGATGGATTTGGCGGCCCTAACCAACGGAGCCGTGATTGAAATATTCATGTTTGTCAGAGAGTTGTGTAGCTCGCCCCACAGGATAGTCTACGACATTCTGGAGCACAACTTTGATCTTGATCTGCAAAGCGGAGAAACCATGGCGGCGCAGGTGATCCGGAGATGGTACGGCACACAGAAAAAAATGAGCATCACGTCAAAGGGTTTAGTTTGGAAGAACAACCTCGTCCCATTGAATGGCCATGCAGAGCCAGAGCCAGAGTCAGAGTCAGAGTCAGAGCCAGAACCAGAGCCAGAGCCAGAGCCAGAGCCAGAGCCAGAACCAGAGCCAGAACCACCAATATCCAACCACAAGGAGGGTCTGGATTCAGGAGATGTGAAGCCAAAAAAGGAGGATTTAAATGGAGGTTTTGAGAAAAAGGTCCTCAGCTATCGCATCTGTGAAGAAATGGGGTTAGACCTAAACATCCGATCGCAACAAGGACCCAAAACAAAACTCGACTTGCCTTTGCTGACGAGAGGAGTCCTCTTTGAGATGCACCAGTATGTGAGACAAAACTGCAACCGGTACGTTCCTGCTCTGTACGAGATTCTGGAGTACAACTTCGACCTGAGCTCGCAGAACCATCGGAAAGTAGAGTTCGCCTGGTCCATCGCCTCTCAGGTTATCGCAATAGCGGGTAAACACGGCCGAAAGGGAGACTATCTGAACAAAGTGATCGAGTTGCCTGTTGAAATCACAGAATCTTCGCAGTCGGTCTGCAAAGAAGAGCCCAAAGACGAATTCATCGAAGTAGACTTAAACGATGACAATGACATTGTGTTTGTCCAAGAACTGATGCCTGTAGACATAGACGTGATGATAGATTAACATCGCTGCTCCTGTAGTGATCAGATTGGTATTATGAGTCATTAGCCTTCTGAAATCCCAGAAATGTGATTCTGAAATCCAAGACGATGTTTTATTTTACGTGTTCTGTCTAAAACTTATATTTACTACCACATAAGACAAAGAAAATCAGCAAATATTGACAATCAAGACATTTGCTTGGAATCATTGCAGGAAAAAATACTTAAATGTTAATCCTGTCGCCAAGGCCATTGTTAGGAAAGGTCGTGCTTCACCCCTCTACCAAAGTACAACCAACACAAAACAGTTTATAACCATAATGAAGGTTTGGTTCATTGCAAAGCTACAGTATTCGGTTGCATTGCTTTAAGATAGCTGTTTCTTTTCATAATAACATGAAAACTGAATGTAAATATTGTATATAAACGTGTTTTTTCCCAACCTTCATTACATTAATGGTAAATATGATGGATGTGGCTTCATCTCAAACAAATAATATCTGGTAATATAAAAAAAAAACATCTGGTTGAACTTTAATTACAATTACCATTTAGTTGTAATAGACACATGTTCTGTTTCTGGAACCATTTTAAGAAGTGATTTAATTGTGGCTCATACTTGTTAGCTGTTACTGACCAGGAGTTACGGCCACATCTGACTAAGTTTAAGTGGATTAAAACATATTTTCCTGTCTTTGATGTACGGTTTTATTTTATAATGTTTTGTGGTCAGTAATTAAAGTGTCTTTATCGTTTATAATGTTGTTGTCAGATGTATTTGAGCTTGAATACAGCATGTTAAAATGTTTTGCTTATAATGCTTATAAACCTAATTTTGAGAGCATCAAGTCAATAGTTTTTAACTAAACTACATTTATGCAACATCTGATTTTAGCGGATATTTTGCAGATTATTGTCATTGGAAATATATATTTTACATTATGTTATCAGTCATACATTTATTTATGATTAAAGAAACGTTTTAATTATCAAAGAAACATTCATTTAGTGAAAAAAGCTATTTTATTAAATAAAAGTTTGGGTTTTCTAGGAATTTTTGTATATACATTACAAGGTTTACAATAAATACAAAAATAGCACAGTATATCCGAATTAAAACGTGTAACAATATTGCTAAAAATATTGCTTTTATGGCTGGAAAGTACTGACAAAGATGTTAAAATATTTCCAAACTTTATGGGGCTGTGAAAATCAACAGGATGCCAGGAGGCCTGCATCGCTGCAGATTTCTTTCAACAGTTTTCCTTACGCTCTCAGTTTAAAAACAGCTGTACTACACTTATCTATGTCTTCTGTTACTGTATTAAAATCCCCACCTAATATACTTTTATAACCCACTGTTAATAGTTCTCTAAGTTTTCTGAATAATTGTAACTTATTTTTTTCCTCAGGGGTATAAATATTAATAAATCGATATTTTTCATTTTTATAAAAACAATCCACCATGAGCAGCCTTCCTGGGATTATGTCCCTTCTTCTAATAATAGTGATGTATTTTTCTTTGATGAAAATGCCAACTCCGTCAGCTCTATTGTCTCCGATGGATATAATACTTTTGCCTTTTGCACACATCATCAACATCACTGGTGGTATTCAGTCTAATTTCTATCGTAAAGAAAAAGTCATAATTAGTGTCAAATAAATATTTAATTTTCCTCTCTCGAAAGTCTTTAGACTGAACACTAGTGATGCCAGTTTGACACTGAAGCTTCGAACGGAGCTTCAACCCTGGACTTCCTATTCCATAGAAGCAGTGGCCGTTTCTCAATCGCGAGGATGCTGGCTTGGTAGCACAGCCGAGCCGAGCATCTTGCTTCAGAAGCAAGGCAAGAATACTTCCTGGCATTCGGAAAACAAAGTGTGGAACAGGCTAGCAAGTGTGCAGGTGTGCGTCATATGAGAGGCCCCGCCCATCTTCCGCCACAGATTTGGGGAAATTGGTCCATGCGCAAACATTGTGGGGATTTTAAGGACGCGAAGTCTACCCATGTGCAGCCTCGAAATTTCCCCCAAACCAAGGACGCGGCCTCTGTGGAATTCCAAGTATGCTGGAGATTGGAACAGTCCTTCGGCGGCACTCGATGACGTAGTATCCTTGAAATATTGGCTTGGAAGCCAATATCCTCGCGATTGAGAAACGGCCAGTGATTCGAAGCTTGCTTCAAATCACGTGACATATGACGTCCGAAGCACCAACTGCTTCATTTCCTGAATGAATCAACTCACTGGTTCGCTGTCCAATCAGGTGATCCAATGCACTGCCTCGTCTCGATTCTGACAGGTGACAGGTTGAAACAGTTTCGAATTTGAGCTCTTCAACACTTTATAACCGCTCTAAACAATGCGCAATGTGTGGGTTGTTGTCGTAGTTTGCGTTGTTGCTGTTGAGTTGTTGTTGGTATTGCATTTTAATTTGATCATTATAGACAAGCCAGGAAGAAAGATAGGTCGTTCTGGCTCGGGAAACACTTCGAAATGTGAAGAAGTTGTGAACAAAAAGGCAATTAACACTAATATAAAAAACATGTTACTAGCTTAAAGGGGACCTATCATGCAAAATGCACTTTTGTACGTCTTTTATACATGAATATGTGTCCCCGGTGTTCCAGGGAACTCACCAAGTGTCAGAAAACACAACCCTCTCTATTTTCCTCCATACCCAAATCTCTAAAAAAGGGGCTGCAACGGATCTGATAAAAACTGATCCAGATTTGAACACTGTCCTGACGTCAGGACGGTGGCGCTACGGCTATTGGGGCAACTCTCCACCTATCAGGGGAATGTGGGGTTGGGCCACGGCCGGCCATTGCCGCTCGAAAGCGCTGGAGACGCTGTAGTACATATGCCAGGCCTGTAAGTGGCGCTGTAGTCTGCCACAAAAGCAGCGAAGAGGACTTGGTTACCATGGTTACCCTTCTGTTTATTCTCCGCTGTGGCTTTTTTTCTCCCTCCCCGAGGCAAGCGTTTGCTCCCGCTGCTTTAATTCAATGCAATCCCTCCCCGTCGAGGCAAGCACTGTAATTCTCTCCGGTTAGTCCACCAGCAGATGACAAACACCCACCTCTCCGCCTCTTCCAAGGAACGAGGGGACCGTGCGGCAGAGTTTCAGTTTCAGTTTGTTTCGCCGGTCAAGATGTCCGTTAAAGTTTAAATCTTCCGGACAAAATTAGAAAAGTGCCGGTCAAAGGTCTTCTTTGTTATTTATTGAGCTTTAAAACAAATGAATAACGACTCTATATAATAAAACACGGAGGACGGAGATCTCTTTTTCTCCCCCTCTTCTGACAGCCCAGCAGCTGATCAGGGGCCTCATTTATAACGCCTTGCGTAGGATTGACGTAGGAAGGTTGCTTACGTAGTACAAAGCACAAAAATAGGTACATACATTTTCCGCCATTTTCCGATTCACAAAACATTGCGTACCGGCGAGGGAAGTGCGTACGGCACTCCCTACGCCTGTTTCCCTTTATAAATCACAATCGACTCGTAACGCCCATATTTGCCTATAAATAGTCAAAGAAACGCCCATTCATTCATTCATTTTTGACTGACTGCATGAAGAAGATCGCAGGAAATTACGATAGAACAGCTAAAAAAGACATCTCACACCGTGTCAGATTTTGGTTATTGTGGGGAGGTCGAGATAAATCATATTGTTTGGTGGATGCAGTTTGAACCAGAGTAGCAGCATGGAGGTCGGATCGTCACCAAAATAAATAAATAAGTGGTCCGAAAAAAGTTAATGACAAAAAAAATACACATAACCTTCCTCAGGCAGTGTGTTTGTACCGGGGACAGGAGACACCCCCTTGATGAGAAACTGTAAGAAATGATCGGGGAATCCCTCCGGAGTGGAGTCATGACGACTGGATCTGAATTATTTTTGTTGTATTTGGTGGTTTGTGTTCCAGCTGTCGATCAGCAACTATATATCCATAATCCACCAGTTAAAGGAAATACAACTAATGTGTTGTGTTATATTAGCTGTACAATTTACCACATATGGTGTTCTTAGTTTCCATACCTCCTGTGTTTTACGAGCGACTTATCAAGTCTTGGCAAACGGCATAAAACACGATTAAACGTGATAGGATATAAAACCATGCTCGTATCTACAACCTATAGAAATGCAAAACGGCGTCAGTTTAGACGTAATTCTGTCCTCCTGCTTACCGCATCATTTATGAGAAAACATTTCATAACATTAACACAACATATTCGAGGTGGTTTTAAATAGCATATCCGTATTTATTTATTTCTCCAAGTTATGTTTTTGTGTGCACTGAGGAGTCTCAAACAGGCGTTTGTTTAATCATTTAAAGATTGGCTTTAATCAATGTTTGAAAATGAATTCTTCATATTTGATAAATGAGAGGTAACATTTTATTTATGGTATTATTTTCACATATTTCTCTCCATTCTTCCTTCTGCCAACGGTGTCGCAGTTTCTCTTCTCTCCCGTTTGTGTGCTTAGTGCGTACGCATGGGTTAGAGTTTGCGTGGAGGACAGCACATTTTCCCGTCAAGTTAGTATTTTATAAATCGCAAACATTGCGTAGAAACTGGCGTACGCCATTTTTTGAGCGTATATCCCTTTATAAATGAGGCCCCAGAGCACGGCTCCCCTCTCCTGCAGGGGGGCGTGGTCAGCAGAATCAGACCCATAGACAGCAAACAGCACATAGAGCGAAATGAGGCATGGCTCAAATGCATGATCTGTTTGGTATTTTGAAAACAGAAACGTATAAATATACCATATAGGTATGGCCCTACAATATATCATTTAAATATAGCATGATAGGTCCACTTTAAGGTATAGATAGCCCAGTGGATAGAGCCGGTGGCCCGAAGCGACGATGTCCTCCGCGCAGCTGGTTCAAAGCCCGGAACGGATGAACTTTTAATCATTCCTTTTCAACTTTAATACTTTATTAACTGATAAAAGGCCCTCTCCGCCCAAACAAAATTCCAGCACTCTCTAGTCTCTTCTCAATAACCCAATACACACAATTATCAATCTTTAATTGCAAATAGAACATGATATTCAGTCTTAGTGTGTGTGTGCAGAGTGAGTAGAGGGGCATGCAACCCTCCTCCCCCCCTTTTCACCTCCCGTCCCTCTGAATCCAGGTTCAAGCTAAACCACTCCTCTTCAGACCGACCCAACTATCCATTCACCACCACCAATGTCTAGACCCCAGGGGGGGTTTCATCGGATCGGTTCTACACTCCCGAATGATACTCCCTGCACAACGGGGCCTAATCGCCAAAATTACCATTACATTCATTTGTGCATCTGTACAATAAATATGTATTATTACATCAAAACCGTCTCTCCTGATTGAAATGCTGGGAGCAGTTTTCTTCCAATTTCTGAGTTATTTAGCTAACATGCCTCTTACCAACTTGACTTAACACAGACTATTGGCGCGTTTCCACTACACGGCCTCGCTCGGCCCCGCTCGGTATGGCTGGGCCTTGTTAGGACTGGCTCACTTTATGGCGCATTTCCATTACAGTTTAGGAACTGGGGTAGTATCTATAGTAACGCAGTGTAGGCGGAGCCGTGACGTGATCTTCAGAGAAACCCCAGAAAAACAACACAGCCGTTAGCTGTTAGCACTCAGAGCTCACAGCTCCTCATATATGTTCAGAAACTAGACAAAAGTGAAACAAGTACAAACCACAGACTGCCTGTGTCATGGTGAATACAGTCGCTGCTTTATTTATGTCT